TTTCTATATGTCTGTGTCTCCTCAGATTCAGGCAGAGTTCCAGAGAATTGTCACTACGGACCTGCTTTCATCGTTTCTGGATGGACTTGATGGCCTGGCCCCAACATTGCTGGAGGTCTACAAAGGTGCATCCAGGACTGGAAAGAAGCCGGCACTAAAAGGCCTTTTGGACTGCCTTGAGAAAGATGTAATGGCGCGTTTCCACTACCAGCGCGGAGCACGGTTTAAGAGGGCTGTGACGTCAGCGGCCCGTCTTTGGTTGCGTTTCCACTTGGCCTAGTACCGGCCGGCGGGTCCTAATTCACAGTTTTTCTGGCCTCATAAAATCGCGGGTCTAGGGCCAGAGACAACGAGGCTGAGTCGGGCCTGAGTATGCTAAACTAGAGAGAGCATCGCTGGCAAGGGGGCTACAACTACAACAAGATGGACATATTTGACCGTGATTTAATTGTAATACACGTTTCAAAATGATGCCGAAGTAACAACATACTGATACCGGTTAGTAAAAACCATGAATTAATGCTTTGTCAAGTCTGCAGACAGACGGCAGGCGAAAAACCTTTTAAAATGCGTGTTTTCTAAATGGAGATTGGCTAAGCTAACGCAGTATATGCTCCGACCGTCCACACTCACAACAACGGCCTATACAGACATAATAAAGCAGCGACTGTATTCACCATGACACAGGCAGTCTGTGGTTTGTACTTGTTTAACTTTTGTCTAGTTTCTGAACATATATGAGGAGCTGTGAGCTCTGAGTGCTAACAGCTAACGGCTTGTGTTGTTTTTCTGGGGTTCTCTGAAGATCACGTCACGGCTGCGCCTACACTGCGTTACTATAGATACTACCCCAGTTCCTAAACTGTAATGGAAATGCGCCATAAAGTGAGCCAGTCCTAACGAGGCCCAGCCATACCGAGCGGGGCCGAGTAGTGGAAACGCGCCATTAGTGGAGATGCTGATGACCATAATTTAGCCACCATTTGTTTGCTACAAATGTTTTTATCCCACTGCATTTGTTGTCCTGCAGGACACAAATGAGAGGAGGAGGACTGCTGCTCTCTTGGGACTATCACACTACATGTCTGGCGAAAATCAGGCAAATGTCATCAGGATGTGTGATGTAAGATCATAACTTTCTTTAATTACTTTATGTAATTGTACATTTTAACATAAATCAACCCAAATCACCCTGTGCCCAAAGTTTCCTTCAAAAGTAATGTTTACAATTACCTTAATTTAAAGGGGACCTATCATGCAAAATGCACTTTTGTGCGTCTTTTATACATGAATATGTGTCCCCGGTGTTCCAGGGAACTCACCAAGTGTCAGAAAACACAACCCTCTCTATTTTCCTCCATATCCAAATCTCTAAAAAAGGGGCTGCAACGGATCTGATAAATACTGATTCAGATTTGAACACTGTCCTGACGTCAGTAAAGTGGCGCTACGGCTATTGGGCCAACTCTCCACCTATCAGGAGAATGTGGGGTTGGACCACGGCCGGCCAATGCCGCTCGAAAGCGCTGGAGACGCTGTAGTACATATGCCAGGCCTGTAAGTGGCGCTGTAGTCTGCCACAAAAGCAGCGAAGAAGACTTCCCGCGCATAGTTACCATGGTTACCCTTCTGTTTATTCTCCGCTGTGGCTTTTTTTCTCCCTCCCCGAGGCAAGCGTTTGCTCCTGCTGCTGTAATTCAATGCAATCCCTCCCCGTCGAGGCAAGCACTGTAATTCTCTCCGGTTAGTCCACCAGCAGATGACAAACACCCACCTCTCCGCCTCTTCCAAGAAACAAGGGGACCGTACGGCAGAGTTTCAGTTAGGTTTTTTTTCGCCGGTCAAGATGTCCGTTAAAGTTTAAATCTTCCGGACAAAATTAGAAAAGTGCCGGTCAAAGGTCTTCTTTGTTATTTATTGAGCTTTAAAACAAATGAATAACGACTCTATATAATAATATAATAAAACACGGAGGACGGAGATCTCTTTTTCTCCCCCTATTCTGACAGCCCAGCAGCTGATCAGAGCACGCTCCCCTCTCCTGCAGGGGGGCGTGGTCAGCTGCAGCTCTGTGCTGTACATGTAATAACTACAATCACATAAAAACACATTTCTATAATCACAATAAAAGACAATAAATTACAACAGATATTTATAAAAAAAATTAAAATTAAAATAAAAAAAAACACAGGGAAATGTCAGGAGTCATGCTCCGCTCAGACTAGAAGGCCAGGGAGAAGAAGTGTGTCTTAAGAGTATATTTAAAAACCCCTAGGGTCTGGGCCGACCTCACATGGAGGGGCAGAGTGTTCCAGAGCCTCGGGCCAGCTGCTGCGAAGGCTCGGTGCCCTCGGGTTTTGAGCCTGGTCTTGGGCACTATCAGCAACAGCTGGTCAGCAGACCTTAAAGCTCTGGCTGGGGTGTAGCGCTGGAGGAGTTCAGCTATATAGGCCGGAGCCAGCCCATTTAGTGCTTTAAAAACAAATAAAAGGAGTTTAAAATCAATTCGGAACCGAATTGGAAGCCAGTGCAGTGAGGCCAGAATTGGGGTGATGTGGTCACGCTTTTTGTGGCCAGTGAGTAGATGTGCAGCTGCGTTTTGGACTAGCTGCAGGCGTTTAATTGACGCCTGGTCCATACCCACGTACAGAGCGTTGCAGTAGTCCAACCTCGAGGTAACAAAGGCATTAATAACCCTTTCCAGGTCCTCAAACGATAAAAACGACTTGGTCTTGGCCAATAGTCGTATTTAAAAAAAAGCAGGTTTTGACTACGCTGCTGACCTGCTTATCGAATTTAAAAGCGCTATTGAAGGTCACTCCAAGTTTCGTGACAGAGGGGAGGATATTATTTTTGAGGGAGCCCAGAACATCAACCTGGGAGGCTAGAGGTTGGGGTCCAAAAAAGATAACCTCAGTCTTGCTCTCATTGAGGTTGAGGACATTTTGGCTCAGCCAGGATTTGATCTCTGCTAAGCAGTCCATCAATAGCTGTAATGAGTTTACATTTGAATTGAGTGGCAGATAGATCTGTACATCGTCGGCGTAGCGGTGGAAGGGGATGTTGTGTTTTGTGAGAATTTAACCTAGGGGCAGTATGTACAGTAGAAAAAGGATGGGGCCCAAAATCGAGCCTTGGGGAACCCCACAGGTAAGAGGGGCTATGGCTGAGGAGAAGGCACCTAGCTGCACTGAGAAGCTACGGTCTGTCAGGTAGGACCTGAACCATGCAAGGGCAGAGCCTGTGATGCCAGCGGACTGTTCAAGCCGTGACAACAGGATGCTATGGTCCACAGTGTCGAAGGCAGCTGTCAGGTCTAACAGCACCAAGACAGCTGGGCTACCTGAGTCGGCGGCTAGGAGCAGATCATTAAAAACTCTTAAAAGAGCTGTTTCAGTACTGTGCATGGGTTTGAAGCAAGACTGAAACTTTTCATGGATTCCATGCATGGTTAAAAAAGACTGCAGCTGGGCGTAGACTACTCGCTCCAGGGCTTTTGATAAAAAAGGTAGCTGGGAGATGGGCCTAAAATCTGCGAGAATGGAAGGGTCGAGATTTTTCTTTTTAAGTAGTGGCTGCACCACGGCATGTTTGAAGGCAGCTGGGACACATCCTGAGCTAAGAGAGGTATTTATAAGTAATAAAATACTTGCTCCCACTTGGGGGGGGGGGGAGTCGATTTACGGTTGCCAGATGTAGGTTTGGGCAGCAATATCAACTCCAGTGAGGGTCTGAGGTGGAGGAGAGCTTGGCGATCGTAAACGAGCAGAGCAGAGACATTCTGACAAACATAAAACAAAAACAGGACAGCTAAAGTTAGAGAGCTGAGGGAGCGGCGAGCCGACACAGGCGCCATCTTGAATCACGTGACTCTCCTTCCACTTTATATACTTTATATACTTTATATAGGTATGGCCCTACAATATATTGTTCAAATATAGCATGATAGGTCCACTTTAAACAAACGTAACATGAAACGTTAGCCTAATCCAAAATGCTCTACTACGACGTACCTTTCATGTGGCTCGTCAGCGCAGACTCGCGCATCGTGATCGCATCTATCACTCTCATCAGAATGCCCAGGTTACACGTAAAAAAAACACTTGCAGGTCACGCGCATAGTGCGGGAAGGACGGAGCGGAGCTGTTTTATGTAGTAGCGAAGCAATTAAGCTTGTTCCGACTTCTTTATTTTCTTTTAATCTAAAAAGCGAACTATTCAGTCAGACAGCAATTTATTGTAAAAGTAAAGCATTTACAATTTCAAGCACTTTGTCCCAAATCCAAGCACCATTCCCAAAATCCAAGCAATTTTCAAACCTTGAAAACACCACATTCAATTTCAAGCATTTTCAAGGATTTCCAGCACCCGTACGAACCCTGATTCATATATACACACATTCTATAAATACATTTCCCTGTTTATTATACATTAAATTATTCCAGGAAAGAAGAAGCATGGCAAGTTAAAAAATGATGCTTCAAATTCCTTCTCATTCAGCATTAATAGAATTGATTTCAGCCAACACTGTTCTGATGCTGGTCTCATTACTCCGCATCTTTTTTGTTCTTTGCATTTTTGAGGAATTGTTTTATAATAATTATTGCATTTTTTGTATTGGGAAAAACCACTGCACAATGGCATAGGTCCTTTGTTTCTATTTTACTCAAACATTTTTTTTAATGCATCATAAGATAAATATGAAGTCTCTGATCTCTGTATTAGGGGCGAAACATGAGTAACTATATAATGTTATAACTATAATGTGTTTGGTGATAACCTATGTTATTGTTACAGCCATCAAAAACCTCTCCACAAATGTTGCCTCTAAACCACAACTCTGCCCACGACACAATATGTGAGAAGCATCTCTTCAAAGACAATTTGTGTTCCCCTTTTCAGTGACTTTCTAGAGAAACTGTTCGTTCTGAAGAATACATAAGTGGGAGATTTTTAGTGGAAAGAAAGAAAGAGGAAATGGGAACAAGAGAGACAAATACCTTCATGCAACACGTCTCGTAATGTGACTCTCTCCCTTGAGATAGCGATGTCTTTCACTTTAGCTTTGGCCTCCATCAGAGTAACACTCCTCAGGTCATTCTTCTCAATGCGGAGCGATGGGTAACCTATGCAGAGGGGAAAACACAGACATGACCCAAATGTAAACAAAGCAATTTAAAATTATTTGACCGTTTTTTTTATCCTGGATTAACACTGGAACACAACCTGGGGAACGTCTGCTTCACATACCTGTTGACACATTTCATACTACAAGAAACATTTCTTCTAAAACAACCAGAATCCCCAGTTTAAATTCTTTGAACTCAACTAATTACAAGAAACAGAATCAGCAGGACATGTACCCCGCACATGTTGCATCAAAGCAACTTCATGCAAAGTCCTTTATTACAGCACCTCCATTACATAACCTCCCTGTGTACTCCGTCAGTAGCTGCTGGCTTACTGAGGTAAAGTGAGGTAGGCTTTAAGAAACACATAAACACAACGTTTATCTGCACACATACGGAAAAAAAGTGAATGAGTATCAAACAAGTCCGTGGTTAGAGCAGACTCAGCTAGGCTGAACTGTGAACAGCTACTGGACAGACTGTAGATACAAACAAGACAAGAGAAGATGGAAAACTCTCGAGCGACAAACAACACGTTTTATGCTTGATATAGAAGCATCTAAATCCAGACCTCATCTGGGTTCAAAGATGCAGACATTGCAACATACATTATACTTTGAATAAAAGTTTAAACCTGCTGTAGGGGGCAAACTGTATAGTAACACACCACAGGTCAATGCTGCCCCCTGCTGTTTAGATGTGAACTATTTTTTGTTTACAATAAATGATAAATACAGTAATTACAAACCTGTAAGATACTGCATAGAGCAATAAGTACAATTACTAACACTATGAAAACTAATACCTGCATATATGGGGGACTATACAGTTATTGTGATAGAGGCTGGTTATATACACGGAACCAAAACAAATTAAACAAAATCTGAACACTGCCTAATCCGTACTACATAACTGCACTTTATAGTATGTCCTTTATGCAGTTAAGCTAAAACAAAAAATATATATAAACTGAAAACCATTTTATACTAACAGACAAGGACACCATCCTTATGAATCCCACAGTTAGCGTGTTAGCCTTTTTGGCTGCCTATCCCAGCTATGATCACATTGTGGATACAGGGTTTACATGAGCACATAGAAAATTGTTTATATACAGTATCTTCCCTGTATACATGGTAATACTAGTATTCTGGTAAGGCTAGCGAAGTTGTGCATTGATGTTTAAAAGCTACAAGAAACATTAAAACTACACAGTACATTCATTACCACCTGACAAATTAACTACTAATCTATTCTGTGATTGGATCCTGAACTTCCTGACGGGCAGACCCCAGGCAGTGCGGGTGGGAAACATCACATCCTCCACCCTGATCCTCAACACCGGTGCCCCTTAAGGCTGCGTGCTCAGCCCTCTCCTCTACTCCCTGTTCACTCACGACTGCGTGGCCACACACAGCTCCAACACCATCGTGAAGTTTGCTGACGACACGACCGTCATCGGCCAGATCACCGACGGCGACGAGACGGCCTACAGAGAGGAGGTCGAAAACCTGACATCTTGGTGCCAGGATAACAACCTCCATCTCAACATCAGCAAAACCAAGGAGCTGATAGTGGATTACAGGAAGCAGCAGAGAGAGGGACACGCCCCCATCGCCATCAATGGGACTACGGTGGAGAGAGTCAGCAGCTTCAGGTTCCTCTGTGTCCACATCACTGAGGACCTGACATGGACTCTTCACACAAACACCATCACCAAAGAGAGCATCCTGACCTTCTACAGGTGCACCATAGAGAGCATCCTGACCTTCTACAGGTGCACCATAGAGAACATCCTGACCTTCTACAGGTGCACCATAGAGAGTATCCTGACCTTCTACAGGTGATAGAGAGCATCCTGACCTTCTACAGGTGCACCATAGAGAGGATCCTGACCTTCTACAGGTGCACCATAGAGAGTATCCTGACCTTCTACAGGTGATAGAGAGCATCCTGACCTTCTACAGGTGCACCATAGAGAGGATCCTGAACTTCTACAGGTGATAGAGAGCATCCTGACCTTCTACAGGTGCACCATAGAGAGCATCCTGACCTTCTACAGGTGCACCATAGAGAGCATCCTGACCTTCTACAGGTGCACTCTACACCCAGCGGCTCAGGAAGAAAGCCCTCAGGATTATCAAAGACCCCCATCACCCCAGCCACAAACTGTTCTGTCTGCTGCCGTCTGGCAGGCGGTACCGCAGCATCAGGACTAAAACCACCAGACTCAGCTTCACAGCTTCATCCCACAGGCCATAAGACTGTTAAACACCTGAACTAAGAACATCCATAACATTCACCGGTTTGCATCTTGCCAATTATTTATCTAATATATCATATTCCATTTACTTGTATATAAACTCTTCTTGCACTATTTCTATTTTATTTGTATTTACATTTTTGCACATCTCAAAACATTCTCTTGCACTATTTTATCTGTTTTATTTGTTTTATGTCCTATATATATTCATGTTGCACTGTTGGAGGAGCCTGTGACTTACATTTTTCATTGCCATATCTACACTGTAGCTAGTGTGCACATGACAATAAAGCCGTGAATCTTGAATTCTGTCCAGTCGCCCAGAGAGTGTACCATAACATCTCACTGTCCCTGCCTCAAGGCCCCCTGATGAAAGCATTGGCAGTATAACAAGATGTGTGTGTGTAGCAACATTCAATGAAAAATACAGGAAAAAATGGACTCACTGGGAAGTGAGATCCAAAATCAACCCTAAAATAACCACTAATCCATAAAGGTGCCGCCGTGGAGATTTAAACAGATCTCTGATATAAAATAAGGCTGAAACCAGAAAGATCAGCATGTTTTACCTTAAGAAATGACTGAAACAATGAACTGTTCCACAACATAATTCTGTGGACTGATTTATTGATTAGTAGAATATTATTCCAGCACTAGTTGATGGGGCACTATGAATGTTAGTAGGAAGCAGGTGAAATGAGTGGGGGGTCAGAGGTACTGTATTAAATCAAACATTGTGAAGTTCAGAAAACTATGGACAAAACATGGTTAAAGTGTTCATAATGTTTTTATGTGCACATGACGACATCATGGTTAGAGTCTTAAGTCGTCTCTGCAGCTTCACCGGAACTTACTTTTGGTTTCATGAGGGGGAGCACCGGGGTTTTGGAAGGAGGAGGCAGCAAGCTGGAGAATGGGTGCAGAACCAGGGTGATTGTCTGATGGCAGGAGGGGGGGGGGGGGGGGGAGAGAGAGTGAGAAAGAGGTGATTTAATGGATAGCTCGCTCAAATCACAACATGACCCGAGTGAATGTATGGATGTTTACTGTAGTACACCTTCAGATCTCACACACACACACACACCACACACACACACACACACACACACCACACACACCACACACCACACACACACACACACACACACAACACACACACACACACACACACACACACACACACACACACACACACACACACCACACACACACACACCACACACACACACACACACACACACACACACACCACACACACACACACACACACCACACACACACACACACACACACACCACACACACCACACACACACACACACACACACACACACACACACACCACACACACACACACACCACACACACACACACACACCACACACACACACACACACACACACACACACACACACACACACACACACTTTAACTAAATGCACAGGAGGTGAGCTGTGGGTGTGTATCCACAAGAGGGCGGTGAAGGATCGCCTACTGAATGGTATCAAATATCATGAATAACACTGACAACTTGCCAAAGGGTCTGGGCAAAGTCCTGTGACAATCTGAGGAAGATGGATCTATGTGGCTGCAGCAGAGTAACCTGACACTAAACGTGCCAAAACTCACCTGTTCAGATCAGCCTCCTCACTGTAGTGCTCCATGTTCCCTCTTATTGTCCTGGCCCCCCTCACTTGGGTCTGCCTACTCTGCCTCTTTTATGTTCACCTTGCTTATGTTTTTTGTCTGGTTCTACAGTTTTTTACTTTTTGTTTTGAATATCTTGTGAAATGTAAGGTGACCTTTGGTGTTATGAAAGGCACCTTCAAATAAAATGTATTATTATTATTATTATTATTATACCTTACCAGTATTAAGATTAGTAGCTCTAAATTCATTTTTAGGGTGTTTGAAGGATGGCTAATAAAAACATTCAGTCTGGTAGCAGTTGCCTTTATGCTCCCAAGAAATAGTCCCGCACACAAAGACAAATAGCTGATTTATTTGACAAAATAGACAAACAAGACACAAACAATAAGATGTCTTTTTATGTGCTGGACAATATTCCCTTGGACATATGAACGCTGCGTCAATTTGAAGGAAGTTATGGATCCAATAAATGTGTCTTTTTTTCATGAATTCAACTTCCTTTATTAAATCAAATCAAATCAAATCAAGTTTTATTTATATAGCACATTTTTAAATGATTTTTGGTCGAGCCAAAGTGCTGTACATATAATAAAAAATACCCTACAGTAAAGACACTTTACAGCAAATACAACAGCACAGTGTGTGCAGAATATCAGTATGAGAAAACGACACCCTCTGTCCTTAGACCCTCACATCGTACAAGGAAAAACTTCCGGAGAAAAACCCACAGTTTAAAGGGAAAAATGGGAGAAACCTCAGGGAGAGTTAAATATAACTTGTTAGTGTATGCGTCCATTTGTGTGCAAGTGGGAGAGCAAACCACAGTGAAAATGTTTTTGAAAGGCTAAACGCAAAAAAATATGGAATTAAAAAGAAGAGAATGTAGTAAGATAAAAATCTACTTTTTATCAATACTTTTGGACTTCTGGATGCTCTGCAGCTTTGGAACGTCTGAATCTCACAAGTCAGAAACATTCCTACACAGACATCACTGGAATCTAACTCTACAAGTAGTAAAATACTAATATTGTTAGTGAAGCCCGATCTTATTCTGCAACTGTGCAGAAATACTAGCTTCAAACAGAAACCAAAAGCTGTACAGCATCCAACTGTTCATTCAGAGTTTGAATGACAACGTTCTGAATAAAGCTTTGAACTTTTGTGTGCAGCCATATTAATTCAAGTTATACATTACAGAGTTACTAATAATCATAATGGGTGCCAGCCAAGCCACCTAACACCCCCACCAACCACTTAATAAGAACTGTGCTGGCGGACGAGTGCTACAGTGAGATTCACTTTCTGTCTGGCAAAAGGAGAATTTTTCTACTACGGTTCAATGTAATAACGTAACCAGATGAGTTATTACAGCGCCCGGTATCATTTGACACAAATTTGTATCATACAGATGCAGGACTTGCACACGCCTGTTATCTAACAGACAGGTCCGCACGCACTCTCCAGCCGAAACTCTCTCGCTTAATGCGCAGTGCAGATTCGGTAATGAATAAAAAAATAAGCATTCGTTCACAAACTAAATCAGGAGACCTTTAAAGTTTTACGTTCACATCAAAGTATCAGTAGGCTACGTGTATGAAAAACGGTTATGTGCAGAAACAATGCATGCGATAGTCCACCTTCTCTTCCCTTCCCTCTCTAACACACACGGCAAGTGCAGCAGCAGTCCTCAGCCGCGTTCACACCGCATACTTTGCAGTACTTAGTGCCGGCACTTAGTGCCCCGGCACTTATTACCCCAGGGCACTAAGTACCAATCGCGTTCACACCGGAGTACTTTTCCCTGAGGGAAGATTACGCAAATGAGCCGCTGACGTCACTTCGTCTTCTTCTGCTTTGGGTTTACTGGCAGGCAGCAAACAACTTCACGGCGTATACTGCCGCCCGAAGTCCCCGGCCGGAAGTCCCCGGAGTTGGGGACTGGCTTCAGGGAGTCCCAGCAGCTTCTACTGAAGCCTTCCGAGTAAATCGCCAGAACGCCGACACCTCCTCATCACTCCACCGCTCCCATGTTTTTTTTTGTGTTGCCATAAGTTAGTCTCTGTCCGTTGGTGCGCGGGGCTAATGCTAATGCTAATAATGCTAATGCCACAAATACAATGGCGGCTTCACAAAACTTTTCAGAGTTTTACGGGGCGTGGTTTGCAATTCGCCCAGCCAATCAGAGCTGGGGCACTTTTTTCCCCCAGGATAGTACCACCTCTCTAGCAGGCACTAAAAATGGGGGTAAAAGTTCCCGGCACTAAGTACTCTTTTTGGTGTGAACGCAACATAAGGGGTACTAACGGAACTAAAGGGGAAAAGTACGGGGAAAAGTACGGGGAAAAGTACTCCGGTGTGAACGCGGCTCTCGTCTCTGTTGCTAATGTTGCTACTTGCTATGGGCGGTGATGACAGTACGAAGTTGATGCTATTTGATTGGAGTGAAGCCAGAGGGCGAGTGGCTTCCCTTGGCATGGCCCTGACTAATCACAGGTTGGCAGGGGCATGACGGTAGCCTCATCTGATTGGTCAATCCCTCAATTTTCTTTTAAGCAAGGGATGACAATTTCGGCTGGCCTCCTCTCGACCATAGGCGCTTTCACACCGCAGTACTTTTCCCACAAAGGTTCATGAGAACTTAGTTCATGAGAACTCTTTAGTTCTCATGAACTAAGTACAGATCGCGTTCACACCGGAATAAGTCCCTGGGGGAGGATTAGGCAAATGAAGCCGCTGACGTCACTTCTTCTTCTTCTGCTTTGGGTTTACTGGCAGGCCGCAAACAACTTCACGGCGTATACCGCCACCCGAAGTCCCTGGCCGGAAGTCCCCGGAGTTAGGGACTGGCTTCAGTAGAAGCTGCTGGGACTCCCAGCAGCTTCTACTGAAGCCTTCAGAGTAAATCGCCAGAACGCTGACACCTCCTCATCTCTACCGCTCCCATGTTTTCTTTTGTGTTGCCATAAGTTAGTCTCTCTGCGTTTCTGCGCTGGGCTAATGCTAATAATGCTAATGCGAGGATAATAAAATGGCGGCTTCACAAAACTTTTTGGGAGTGGTTTGCAATCCGCCCAGCCAATCAGACATAGGAACCTTTTTCTCCCACGAAAGTCCCTGCTCTCTAGCAGGGACGGAAAACTGACGGAAAAGGGGGTAAAAAGGTTCTCATGAAATCATTTGAGTTCCGGCTCTTTTTGGTGTGAACGCGACATTTCGGAACTATATCGGAACTAAAGTGGGAAAAGTACTGCGGTGTGAACGCGCCTCATGACATGATATACAAATATACTGTTTCACCATAACATCTAGAGGGGCGCTGTTTCACTCTTTGTAAAATACTCAATGAGAATGGGGGAGAGATGGCAGCAACACACAGCACAGAAGAATTACCGAAACTAAATGAAGGGTTTTTTTTATTTATTAAAATGATAACTACAGTCCAGAAAAACCTGGCCTCCAGGAGAAAACGCCACTGGTTCTGAGGTAGGAGACGATGAATATTTAGACTTAGCTCTTACTTAAACTTTGCTACTGTACGTCTGTTTTTCCCACTATGTTTTAATTTTACATCAACTCCAATAGAAGACTACTTGGCTTCCCTTACGGCTCCACAGTTGGCCTGACACTTAGCTCTGAGAACATCAGTCACACAGTAATAGGTCACAAGGGTGTTAGCAACCAAAGGACAGAGAACATCACTGCAGGAACTCTGCTCTTCATTACAGTCTTATGATGCTAGTTAAGCTATTTAGGTCATCACAGTAGATTATTGCATTTGGAAAAACATGCACACATGGATGCCAGGGTAAGAAGAGAAGAAAACAACTATGGCAGACTGAATGTACTCCATGTTAGTTTGATTACCACAAACATGTTTGGAGTGATGCTGCATCTTGTTACTATTTGCCTTTAGAAGAAAGAGTAAAATGCCTTACTGGTGACGGGGGCTGCGTTGTTGGGGGTGTCCGCCCTCAGGTACTGTGTGGTCTGTGTGGACGGCTGAGACAGGCCCTGCGAGCTCCCACTGTCACTCACACTGAACACACAGAAGAAGAGGAGAAGTTATCCAGAGGCACCAGGATTGTGTTTCAACAGTAACTGGTAAACGCATTACTAAATGAAAATCCTTCCCATGTTCTGAGTAACAAGCTAGTTTCAAATCCAGTGATTTCAAAAGTGAACATCACAACAAAACATGAATATAAGCTTGTGAATGAGTCATTTCAGAAAAGAAGGCTGTAGAGTTCACAACAAGATAATATTCTTGTATACCACAAGGATCACATCATGCAATGTGATCAAATCAGACCACTTTGGCAAAACAACATTACGGCAACTAACTTTAGAGAGATTTCCATGGAAAAGAAGAAAACAGTCCCACTGTCCCGATGGCTAACCTCTAAGAATGAATAAGGGGACAACAGGGGGAGGATGTGCTGATCTAATTCACAGCTGATCACCTGCAGAGCTGCCTGCAGCCACCTGGAGTGGAGATTACAGGAATCGAACAGCGTGGAAACTTAAAGTGGACCTATCATGCTATATTTAAATTATATATTGTAGGGCCATACCTATATAAGGTATATTTATACGTTTCTGTTTTCAAAATACCAAACAGATCATGCATTTTAGCCATGCCTCATTTCGCTCTATTTGCTGTTCTCCAGCACTGTTTTTGCAAGGGGCAGATTCTGTGAGCTGCAGCTGACCACGGAGGAGAGGGGAGCCGCTCTGATCAAGTCAGAAGAGGGGGAGAAAAATAGATCTCCGTCCTCCGTGTTTTATTATAGCCTTTTATTATATAGAGTCGTTATTCATTTGTTTTAAAGCTCAATAAATAACAAAGAAGACCTTTGACCGGCACTTTTCTAATTTTGTCCGGAAGATTTAAACTTTAACGGACATCTTGACCGGCGAAAGAAAACCTAACTGAAACTGAAACTCTGCCGCACAGTCCCCTCGTTCCTTGGAAGAGGCGGAGAGGTGGGTGTTTGTCATCTGCTGGTGGACTAACCGGAGAGAATTACAGTGCTTGCCTCGACGGGGAGGGATTGCATTGAATTAAAGCAGCGGGAGCAAACGCTTGCCTCGGGGAGGGAGAAAAAAAGCCACAGCGGAGAATAAACAGAAGGGTAACCATGGTAACTATGCGCGGGAAGTCTTCTTCGCTGCTTTTGTGGCAGACTACAGCGCCACTTACAGGCCTGGCATATGTACTACAGCGTCTCCAGCGCTTTCGAGCGGCAATGGCCGGCCGTGGCCCAACCCCACATTCCCCTGATAGGTGGAGAGTTGGCCCAATAGCCGTAGCGCCACTTCTGTGACGACATAGAAGTGTTCAAATCTGGATCAGTTTTTATCAGATCCGTTGCAGCCCCTTTTTTAGAGATTTGGATATGGAGGAAAATAGAGAGGGTTGTGTTTTCTGATACTTGGTGAGTTCCCTGGAACACCGGGGACACATATTCATGTATAAAAGACGTACAAAAGTGCATTTTGCATGATAGGTCCCCTTTAAGTGCGGCTTTAACGCGATATCATTCTTTTTGAGGAGATTATCTATTTTTGTTTGTCTTTGAACAGCAGAATTCTGCAGAAAAAACTGACATAAGTTCAGCGGGTGACAGATACGAGGCTGTAAATCTGCCGCTTCTTATCAGCTGCAGTTTAATACGTGTACAAACGAAAGAAACAGACCTGTCCTCCATCTCCACCCTCTTCATGCTGTGCAGGTGCAGGATGGCCAGGATGATGGCCACTAGGAAGATCACAATGCAGCAGACGCTCACACTGATGTAGAACACCTGGGTGGAGGTGGTGGGGGCGGTCACACCATCTACTGATGACAACAAGCCACACATTATAAATCAGAATAGTGATGCAACAAACAATTCATTTAATTATCATTCAAACCTTTTATTTATAAATGACAGAAAATTGTGAAAAATGTATATTCCAGCTCTAATAGCCTAAGTTGACATGTTCAAATGACTTGTTTTGTCAGTACAGAACCCAAATATATTAACATTTATGTACATGAGGCTGAAAACATCAATTTCTGACAGTATTGCATAATAAAATTACTTTAACAGTAGATCCATTATCAAAATAATATGTTTTCATTGGAATGACAGTTGCAGCTCTAAATCAAACTATAAAATAGAGCGTTGTTGGACACAAAATACCAGTCATTAAAGAAAGCTTCCCCCATTATATGAAAGAAGCAGGGAACAGATATGAGGTTAGTCAATAACAAAAAGACATGAAAGGGGGGGGGACTGGAAGTGCACCGAGGGCTCCTCTCATGGCTGATGGAGGCCTGTGGGAGTGAGGCTGCGTTCAGGGTCCAGTGTCTGAGAGCCTTTCTCATCACCTCTCTAAAAGCCCCGCAGGGCCCCAGGTTCCACAGGCCTACCCAAGCAGAAGGGAGACAACCCACTAATGGCACTCTGTTCCTGGGCCAGTGGGTGCACAAAGGGCCCGAATAAAACTCACTGGAAGACGACAGCCACTCAAGGGGGGGTGGGGGGACAGAGTGCACTTCAATAGGAGAAGGAATCTTTCTCTTAGGGGCCTGAAAACATATACCTTGGTTATGGTGAGTTTGACTGTACAGAGAGACGTCTCAGTACTAACACAGCCACTGTTTATCAGTGATAGACACTACATGGAGCGGAGGAAGAGGTACTTACATTCAGGCTGTGGATGAGTTTTATTGCTGAGAGGAAACTTTGGGTCAGAATCTATTCCTGTTCACAGAAGAAAAAGCAAAGACAATGATATCCACTCTACCTTCAGTTGAATGACAGCCTTATTTTTAAATCTTGGATTCTGCTAAATCTAGCTCTACTTTAAAAATCTAGTGCTAAAAGTGCATCCTCAAATTCTACTACTCTTTTGGTTGAGTATTTTATTTCATCCAAATATCATAACAGTATGTGTTTGACATTCTGTTACAAGTCAACACAATAGGCTCTTTTCACAACACACCTTTTGAAATATTCATGGCAGGATAAGCACAGAAGAGAGGGCTCAGTGCTGTGCTCTCCCTGCTGCTCATGATCTCTGCTATATCAAAGTCTACAGGTCAATAACATTGCTACTGATTGAAAAGAAAGAAAACGTGTTACAATACCCATATCACCATGTTTTGTATGCCGTGAACATTTAGTTTGTTAAATGCAGATAGCCAAATATACCAGGATGTCAAACTGCATGTGGTCGCATTTTGCAGATTTTTCTATTGGATTCTAGAATATTGCAGGAAGTAAGATACTGTATGTGGCAAACACGCACTTATGATACTTACACATTTAATTTCAACAGGATAATCTCTACATATTAACACCACTTTTATAATAGTTGGAGCTTAAATGCAATAGGGAGTAAATAGCTGATGTAATGCTAAAAAGCAAACTACATGCCACTCACCTGTATTCGCGTCACCATCGCTAAGCTTAAGGCGGCCAATGTGTGATGTTGTTTAGTCGTCTCATTTAGTCTTTAAAATACGTAAAAGCTTCAGACAGTGTGACGTGGTTTATGTCATAGAACAATACATAAAAATGCCTTGTGGTGTTAACCAAAGACCCTATTTCAGCCACTGAACCAAAAACAAATTAAAAAAACATTGAATATGAAACTAGGGAACCTGAAAGTGTGCTAACTCACTGCTAACGCTAAGAAAAAAAGTAAAAGTATGCGATCTGAAATGCAGCCATATTAACACTCAACCACTCTTGGGTGCTACCTATAACCATACCTTTGTTGAGATTATTAGCTGGTTATTAATATACTTACTTTTATAGCACATTTTCCTCCTCTTGAAGTTGAGCACTGTGTAGTTGTTGGCACGTATGGTCAGATTGAGCTGCACTGTTAACACAGCCTCTCCATCCACCCTGCCCGAACAGAAGAGGTCCACTCTGAAGACTACACACACACACACACACACACACACACACACACACACACACACACACACACACACACACACACACACACACACACACACACACACACACACACACACACACACACACACACACACACACACACACACACACACACACACACACACACACACACACACACACACACACACACACACACACACACACACACCACACACACACACACACACACACACCACACACACACACACACACACACACACACACACACACACACACACACACACACACACACACACACACACACACACACACACAGCTATTATATGTCTGAGATTTGTGAGATATATACTGTGTGTATATATATATATATATATATATGCTTATATAAAAAATACAAGCTCTAAATGACTTTGGTATATAAGCTAGGGTGAAACGCAGACTACTGTTTGACTTTTTCTAGACAGTGGCATCAATCCTCTCGTCAAATGCTCAGCCAGGAAACTGATAAGTGTATTTCTGCCTCTCCTTTAACACTGTTTCAGCATCTGAGTTTCAATTAAAACTCCCATCTTACTCAAACAAGTAAGAGCATGGACCTATTGACACAACTGACACATTTTTTTAAGCATGTAGGAGCCAATATTTTTCATAAATGAAACGAAAGGATTATATTTGACGAACCAGAGGGAACGCGGGGCACCTCCCCCTGAATGGAGATGTTGCTTCGGGGTTCGTTCATGGCCACGTCGTTGTCCATTTGGAAGCCAAGCCGGTAGTCGACCTATAAACAAATAATGACGAACCACAGTTGTCAACACACAGATGGGTTGTCCTGCAATAGGGGTGTAAATCCCAAGTTTTATCACCATACCATATTAAATCAATGCTTTGCAAAACAATAAAATATCTGATCTGAACTGGTATCATAAAGTCTGCCATTATTGATATCACTCAATAAAAAAAGCTCTCTAGGAAAGAGGTGCTCGTAGACTGATAGAGTTATGTGACAATTTCAATGTTTTCATTTGTCAGGTGCATTTGAACGATTACGATCGATGTTTGTCATTGAATTACACCTCTACCCTGCAAGTGTGCACAAGTAAGCATGTCTAAGGGTGCTGTTGAATTGTCCAAAAATCAGCTCCTATCGTCTTTTCCTAACCACTATTCCTTGACCTCTGTGTGAAACGTCACAGCGTTAAGGAATAGTGCATAGGAGAATTCAAGAGAATCCCACTATCAGACATATTAATGATGCACCAGGAGATGTTATTAATGTGCGTCTGCTGTGGGGAAAGTACAGTTTTCTGTACAGCGGACTACAGTACAGCATCTAGACACTTTGCACCGTGCTCTTATGGTGTTGTTGCGGGCTTTATGAACGTGGACAACAGAGAAACATATGTTCTTCATTAGGTTCGAACTGAAATAGAAAAGTGAAGTGAAACCTATGCTTGTCACCAACACTCCCCTCATCAGTTCCTGATGCTGAGACTTACCTTTGTCTTGGAATGCCATGAGAAGTGCAGGCTGTTGGTCTCACTGGGCACAGGCAGGGTGAAGGAGAGCGCGTAATGATTCACCACGTCATCTCGCACATAGTACAGCTCTGCATCCAGGCCTGTGTGAGGACAGAGGACCAAACATTTTACCATATTTGACAGATTTTGTAAATCTACGAGAAAACACATTTTGTAATTTAGAGGTAGATTTAGACACTCACACAGAGCAAGCCTGAGGAATAATGGTAATATCCACTCAGACTGCATGCCTGGATTTGGGGGGTTTCCCCACAATAAAAGAGATGGACTGCCCACATCTGTTAGCACTTGAGACCTCTTGGTGCCCAAGTGAAACTTCAAAAAGTTCAAGACAGGCAACTTCCAAATACAAGTGCTATTTTCTATCCAGGGAAGTAAATTGGGAAAAGGAAGGGTTTGGAATTCCTGATATAAAAACTGGACTTTCAACCATTCAGTTTTTATTTTGCGTATTTTTGCTTAGGTACAGCATGTTGTGTTTCTTTCACATTCCCTTGAACAAAGTCAAGCCAATACGTTTTATTTTTACTACTGCATCACAAAAAGTCATGCAAGTGAAATGTGTGCTGGTGAATCCCCGACCCGGGGCAGTGCTATCAGTGCTCTGAAGCGTCTGTCTGGCAGAGCGGGGTCTGTCTATCAGGCCAAGAGTATCTAGTTTAAAGAGAGGGGAAGAATGTGCCCAGGCTCCCCAAATACCCCTGGGCCGTCTCAGAGCTGTGGCTCATAGACCTCTCACACATCAGCTCAATTAAAAACACTCTCTAGCATTTACCCACTCACATTCATTAAGAAGCTGCTTCTGGTTGGGTTAAGAGGAATACTCTTACATGTACAATTACAAATATAGTTAAACCATTACTTAAACATATGAGATTTACTATAGTGTTATTATAATTGATTAGCTAAATAAAAGACTTGATCATTTATGTTCAATCTTGAAAAGAAACTCATTAGCATCTGCTGATAAATATGTTAGCAGAAGAAGATAGTAAGTGGACCTTCAGGTAAATCGTTGTTGCAATAGATATAAGAAGGTTATTGCTATAATCCAAAAATTAGCTGACACACCAAGCTGACACCAAAGAACTGACACAGACGGACCCTGACTGTTGCGTCGCCTCGCGTCTCTGCGTCTCGGCCATGTGTCGCACTGGAACACACTGCAAAGACTTCAGCCGACGGCCAAGAAGCACGTACGAACTGCGCATGCGTGAGTGGCAATAACTCTCCTTACCAGCAGGCGGCGGTAGTGTGTATTCGTCATTCAAAAGAGGCAACAAATGGAAGACAGACTGCGTGATACACAGAGAGAAGAAGAACAGACTGCGTGATATAAACAAACAACAAATAGCGTGTGCGTTCCATGTTCACTCTACAGCGAGAAGCTCATGGGGCTTTCCCCAACCTGTGTCGAGAGCTGGAGTTACATGAAATCTCAGATTTGCCTTCTTAATAGTTTGTTTGGGTCCCTCACTTCCGTTTCGCTTCTCATGCACTGATTCGCTAGCTGAACAGCCAATCAGAGTGATTTATTTTGCCGACAGCCTTTGGCCGACTGCTGGTTTTCGGCCGAAAAGGTGTCGGTACGGCTGAAAAGACACGACGGTGCGGGACACACCAATCTGAGTAGGGCGTGTCGACGCCCATCGACGGCCAAAATCGGCTTGGTGTGTCCGGGCCTTTAGGCTTCTAGCCTAGCCTTAAATAAGCAACTTCAAGACTGGATTGGAGAATTCTGTAATGCATATGACTCATATAACAAAGTCTCTCATGTGTGTATATGAGGGCACTTAAGAGATGTGTACACAGCCATTCACTTTAGCAAATAATAATTCATTTTCTTGTGCTCAATTTCTCCCATCATCTTTTTCTCAATATACGGCTGCACAGTTTTTCACTATGAACCCAGACATAAAGGAGAAGGACCAGTGTGTGTCTGGCTCAAGTCTGTCCCCCCCACAGTACCATAGTCATCTTACCTAACTGCAACAAGTTCATAGCAGGAGCAGCAGCCTGACAGAGTACACAGAGCAGACAGGGAACAAGTGTTCCTGAGGCCAAAGCATGCAGCTTCAGCACCGACTCACACTCAGCTTTGGACTGGAAAACCGAGTGAGTAGAAGGCGTGCCTTTAAACGGGACTCTTGTGAAAAAGTGTTGGGTCAGTGCCTCACTTCATCATCATGCTGTTTGCTACTGCCGATGCAAACGCTCCAATGCTAACATTCTTCGTAAATGCTAACAGAAAATAACAACATCATTTTAAATTCCAGCATGATAACTTGGCAGTGTGTTATGTTTCAGAGATTATTTCCTGCAAGACATTTCCATTTTCTCTGCTAGTGATTAACAATAGCCAGGGCAGAACACACTGTATCACCTGGAAAAACACTCAACTTCAGAACACATGACACAATATAAAAATAACAACGACAGACAAAATATAAATGTTTACAGTAATAAATCACGTTTTATACTGCATGAAATAAATAACCCCACATTCGTACGGGAAATACACCTTAAAATAAATCTGTTATGAAAGATTCTCTAATTAATGATTTCAGTTTTCATTCATCCATACTTGCACATATTACAGAATGCAATCTATTCTGCCTCAATGGCAACCATTTCTCATGAATGATCCTAAATAAGAGGTCAGCAGGATCATCAATCAAAAACACATACTAACATGTACAGCAGTGCTTGTATACAAAGCTGTATACATTTTCCCACACAGTGACTTGCCGCCATAACAAACAACTTTTAAAATCCGTGCTACAGTGCTACATTTACTTTTACTGTTTAAGCTCGTCATGCACAATTACATGATGTGACATTGTTTAAAGAAAAATATGGGGACATTTATCATCACATATCAACAGAAGTGACTTAATCCCTCTGATTCTCTCCCGACCTGAGCAGTGCGTCGCCAGTTTCTTGAACTACGGCTTCTCTAAGAGCATCAACGTTGAGCTGCTGGAAACAGCCCAGTGGATTCACATAGATCTATAGAAATCTGTTTAGCCAGTGAGAGCATTGAGCACAGACAAGTGCTAAAACACAAATGCAAGAAGGAAGAAGAAGAGGGGCGTGCGGATTGTTATATATAATATATATTGTAATACACTGTGCTTTAAGTGAGAGACTCAACTATAAAAGGGGCAACCCTTAAGATAACTATAAGGGAAAATATGAACACTATGAGGCAGAACTATAAGTGTTTATAAAGGGAGCCTGATTACTGACAAGTGCACACAAATCCATAAGAAAACTAGTCAAATAAAGTAAACATTAAGATCGTTGAGTAACAAGTATCATTTTTTGCATCAATTTGGAAATTACTTAAAATGATAGGTTTGAAGTTTGTCTCAAAACAATGATATGTCGCATTACATACTAAAGTAATTTAAAAGTTATCATTCGCTGTAATAAATCCTTAATGTCCACTCAAGCCATATGAATTCCTAATTTCTTTCTTAGGGGACTAAGAAACAGTGACCACAATCCACAGTCGCTGCTCTGTGCAAAAATTAATAAATACATTAAATATGTTCAGCCAAAGCTAATATAATCTGAAGATTTGGCAAATCAAATGGGTATTTTCTAGAGATACTGTCTTTTTGGTACAGAATTCTCTCCTTGTGTTTCCCAGACTGTGAGCCATGTTAACTTCGAGTCATATTGGGAGGCTCGTATGCATGAGAGACATGATTACACTGACCAAAAAAAGGGAGCTTTTTTTCTATTTCTAAGCAACTATATGTTATGTGAAACAATTAATGAATGACTTGTATTACATGCTTTTTTCTTGTTTATGCAAATTCAAATGCACATTTTTATTCAACTCCAAGATATTTGAATTTAAAGTCAAATTTACTATGCAGGTCAGCCCTTTAATTCAGTTTAGTAGTGTTAGAGTATTGGGTTATTTGTATACCCTATAACTCTTATTATGTGCTGAAGATTTTATATAGGAGGAACATCAATTTGGGTATACTTATTTCTGGATTTCTTAGATCGAGCACTATATAGTTCCCTATTCAGCATACCTTTAATTCAACATCAATAAAAACCCCTTATAGCAGGAAATTGGCGACACCCTATTGCTGACTCTGATTCTCATTGCAACTGTTAAATGTTCCCCCTACTCCAGCATCTGAACAGCTACAAAACACACACAATGAATATAATGAACATTTTAGTCTATGTATACCATTTGTGGGGCTATGCAAAATGTAAATGCTTAAAAACTATTTTGGGAAATCATTTTGGATTCCCAGATGGACAAAGTCATTGGTTTGTTTGGAACCCTGGACAGCCTGCAGACATTCCTTGAGTACCAGCGACAGGCCGCTCAACATCCTCACTGAAGTAACCTCAGTGCCTTGCTCAAGTGCACACAGACCCTTCCTTCAGCTGGAGAGACAGAGTTACTCACTCGATCTCTCCTTCTGCGTTTTTCTTACTGGTTCAGTCTTTGAAACTGGCAAAGACGTTGTTGCACTAAAGCTTTCACATAACATCACTTCAAATCAGCAATCTGAAAATGCTGTTCCTTTCTTATACAGAGGTCAACAGAACACTTACAGCAGCATCTTAGATGTGCTGTATGAAGTTTTAAATCGCGGTGCAGATTTCTCTGCAAGCTGTGGATCACGTTGCAGACTTTGAAGGAGGAGAACAAAAGTTGGCAGTGGCCAGGTGCTAGGATCCAGGACAGATACAACAAAGACCCTGTTGTGCGCACAGTCAACACTATACCTCCCAAAGTCTTCATCCCTGAGCGCTCAGGAGATAAACACTCCCTCCAGCCTCTCACTGGGAAGATACTGGCGGCATGAACCAAGGAAGGAGAAAATGAGGGCCCGCGTGAAACTCTATCAACTGGAAACTAGGGCTGTGCATCATATTTTAATCTCGATAACGATTTTGGCTTGCAACGATTACGAAAACAACGTAATCGAAATAAAACGATTATTTTGCTGCGTGCGCTTTCGCCCCTCTCGTCCAGGTTGTGAGTGATAATAATAATAATACACAATAATCTTTTTTCTCAAAGTAATGATGAACCTGTGAG